GGTGTGTGTTTGAACCTTTATGGATGCGTTAGTCAGCTCAATACTAACTGATTCTGATTAAATATAACTGTTTTACATGGATATCTAATAAGACACGACTCATTACTCCCCCTCACACACACACAGAAGGAAAAAAAAATCATTATCGTAGTGTTTATATTTTATTAGTGTTGTCAACATCAAAAGAGTCATAGCGCTGAGCAATTAAACTGACCGTCGAACGAAGATCAGAGTGTAATACAGACAGGGTACAGAAGGGTCACAGAAGGTCACGGAAGGTCACAGCCAGACAGTCAGCGGATTGATATAATTCTCTGTTTTTTTGGTATTAAGTGGCAATACAAGCCTGAATATTTCCCTCCTATAATGTTTTGTAGTATTTATCATGTGGTAATACTCGCAGGTTTGATATTACTCCTCCTCTATTTCTCTCGATATATTTGGAGTATTTCTCAGGGTGGTAATACTCACAGGGTCTGAGTATTACTCTTCTAATGTATTGTTTAATATTTTTTTTACAAGCAATACTCTCAGGCTTACGTCATCCAGTTAAAAAATATGACTGGTTAGGACCCCCGCCTTTCCTAATAGACCCTAGTCTAGGGCCCTTACTATAATCTAAATATCTTGATTGTCTCCCATTCCTAATAGGGCCTTAGGTTAGGTTAGGACCCATATTATATATAGATAATATTAGGTCTGGGGACTTATCAAATCTAAGGGTCTAATAGAACTAGGGGCTATTAAAACAGGGACTAGTATGGGAGGGCCTAGCTATCCAGTTAATTAAAAAAAATAACATCTGGGAATTAGGTTCATACAAAAATAACCCCTGAATATATATTTATCAATCGACAATGTATATAGTTTACATTAAATTATATATAAACTTGTGCTGGCTATCATTAAGATATATATATATATATATATATATATATATATATATATATATATATATATATATATATATATATATATATATATATATATATATATATAAAATCACACGGGAAAATAGAAACAACGGAGCACCTTAGCTTTCGTCTTTATTCAAGACATCTTCAGGCCTGGGTGCTCGTTGTCCATTTCCGTGTGTTTCAAGTTATCTTATCCACGTTTTTCATTGTGGATTTACATGATATATATATATATATATATATATATATATATATATATATATATATATATATATATATATATATATATATATATATATATATATTATTTATATCAATAATGTTTCTTTGTACAGAAAAAAATAAAAATAAAAGATTCGCTTGAGAAAAATAAAGCAATTTGCTGCCTTGTCTCACCTGTTTGATAGGTTAAAAATACCTGTAATGACGAAGCAATGAAGAAGCCTTGATTAATTGGTTTACGGTCAAATGGGCCACTAATTGTAATGTGTCACTAGTCGTAATGGGTACCTCGTCGTAATAGGTCACTAGTCGTAATGGGTCACTATTCGTGATGGGTACCTAGTCGTAATGGGTCACTATTCGTAATGGGTCACTAGTCGTAATGGGTCACTATTCGTAATGGGTCACTATTCGTGATGGGTACCTAGTCGTAATGGGTACCTCGTCGTAATAGGTCACTAGTCGTAATGGGTACCTAGTCGTAATGGGTCACTAGTCGTAATGGGTCACTATTCGTGATGGGTACCTAGTCGTAATGGGTCACTAGTCGTAATGGGTCACTATTCGTAATGGGTCACTAGTCGTAATGGGTACCTAGTCGTAATGGTCACTCTATGTCACTAATGGGATGTTGTTTAGGGTCTATTCGATGGTACCTAGTCGTAATGGGTCACTCGTCGTTGGTCACTATTCGTAATGGGTCACTATTCGTGATGGATCACTAGTCGTAATGGGTCACTATTCGTAGGTCCTATTCGTAATGGGTCACTAGTCGTAATGGGTCACTAGTCATGTGACTGTCGTAATGGATCACTAGTCGTAATGGGTCACTATTCGTAATGGGTACCTAGTCGTAATGGGTACCTAGTCGTAATGGATCACTAGTCGTAGTGGGTCACTAGTCGTAATGGGTCACTAGTCGTAGTGGATCTAGTCGTAATGGATCACTAGTCGTAGTGGGTCACTAGTCGTAATGGGTACCTCGTCGTAATGGGTCACTAGTCGTAATGGGTCACTTGTCGTAATGGATCACTGGTCGTGGTGGTCACTAGTCGTAATGGGTACCTAGTCGTAATGGGTCACTAGTCGTAATGGGTACCTGTCGTAATGGTCACTATTCGTAATGGGTCACTATTCGTAATGGGTCCTATTCGTAATGGGTCACTAGTCTGGTCACTAGTCGTAATGGGTCAGTCACTATTCGTATGGCTATTTCAAATGGGTGCTAGTCGTGGGGGTCACTAGTCGTAATGGATCACTGGTCGTAGTGGATCACTAGTCGTAGTGGGTCACTAGTCGTAATGGGTCACTAGTCGTAATGGATCACTAGTCGTAGTGGGTCACTAGTCGTAATGGATCCACTAGTCGTAGTGGGTCACTAGTCGTAATGGGTCACTAGTCGTAATGGGTCACTAGTCGTAGTGGGTCACCTAGTCGTAATGGGTCACTAGTCGTATTGGGTCACTAGTCGTAGTGGGTCACTAGTCGTAGGGTCACTAGTCGAATGGGTCACTAGTCGTAATGGGTCACTGTCGTAATGGGTCACTAGTCGTAATGGGTCACTAGTCGTAATGGGTCACTAGGTCATAATGGTCACTGTCGTGGGTCGCTTCATTTGGGTCGCCTAGTCGTGGTGGATTACTAGTCGTAGTGGGTCCTTATCGTAATGGGTCACTTGTCGTAATTGGTAAACTTAACCATTAAGATTGTCTATTAGAATTGGGGCCCGTTATGGTTGATGCCCTTAGGACTAACGGGTTCTATTAGGACTATGGGGCCGTAGGACTGAGCCCATTAGGACTGAGGACCCGTTGGACTCAGGCACATTTGACCATTAACCAATATATCTTCCCCTGCCAAACAAAACATCATAACAAGATGATGACAATATAATGACGTCCTGAACATACGATGACGTCATGAACATACGATGACGTCCTGAACATACGATGACGTCCTGAACATACGATGACGTCATGAACATACGATGACGTCTTGAACATACGATGACGTCTTGAACATACGATGACGTCTTGAACATACGATGACGTCATGAACATACGATGACGTCTTGAACATACGATGACGTCTTGAACATACGATGACGTCTTGAACATACGATGACGTCCTGAACATACGATGACGTCTTGAACATACGATGACATACGGTAAAACTCGGAGAGATAACAGAAACAGATACAAAATAATGCTTGGCCAAATGGACCCCAGTCTCAAGGGACCCCAGTCTTAATAGGGGCCCCCCCCCAAATTAACCTAATAGGAATGGGGGCCTAAATAAGAACTGAGACCTATTATAACTAGAACCTATTATAACTAGAACCTATTAAAACTGGAAACTATTAGAGGTGACTGTGGCCCATTTGACTAACACTTCTATAAAACCGGAAACCAAATGTTGACTTTATAAAACACAGGAAACATCAAACACTGTTTACAATCATGAAGAGAAATGTCATTTACACTTGTTTACACTGGATGAATTTTGTAACTTTGTAAATAAAAATAGCGATGGAATTTTTTTTTTTACCGTATATATAAGGATTGAAAGTTTGAGAGAGAGAGAGAGAGGAAACAGATATAATGAAGGAGAGAGAATCTATGCACACCATACAAGAAGGAAGAGAATAAGAGGGATTGATAAATGGGATCAATTGAAAGATGAAGGATTAGAAGAAAGGGGGGAAGGAATAAAGAGATGGAGAATACTGAGAAAGTGAGGATAAAGGACACAAGGAGAGAAGATACGAGAATAATGAGATGTGATGATAATAGTGGATGACGAGAGAGGGAAAATTAGGTGTATTGGTGGTGGGTGGGATAACAGACAGACAGAGAGAGATACAGACAGAGAGAGACAGACAGACATAAAAAAAGGGGTAGATAGATAAAACATGATAAACAATGGAAACGAAACAAATACAACAGAAAATGAATAACAATAACAAGAAAAAATAGACTAAAATAATAATAATAATGATAATGAAGATAAATATATATACAAAAGATACGAGAAATTTACATTACTTAGAAAAGCAAATAAGAAAGTTTTGACACTAAGCCAAAATATTTCCTCCACCTACACATTCCTGGTTAAGATTTAGTAGAATGTTTGCCTCACTTATTGTTTTCCTCTGTTCACTGTTCACTCAGGTTGTTCTTCGTAGCACATTATATAGCTCCCATAACATACGCTATATATAGGCCTATCTCCCATAACACACACTTTATAGCTCCCAAAACACACGTTATATAGCTCACGTAACACATACTGTATGTCTGTCGTAACACATACTGTACCACCCGTAACACATAATACTCAGTCTATGTAACACACACCATGTATTTTCTGTAACACATATTGTCCCTTCAGCGTTACAGTACTATCTAACACATGTATCGTTACTCTGAGGTGGGTCCTGTTACTAGATGTCTGGACGTCTCCTGTCACCGATCTCCTAACCAAATCTGAACATCTCCAAGGTCTCCTCCCGTCTCCTTGTCTCTCATGTATTGATTTTGTGGCCTCCTATCTCTCTTTTCTGTGGTCTGGTACCCTGTCACACCGTGGCCGTCACACCGTGGCCGTCACACCGTGGCGTCACAGGTCGTCACACCGTGGCCGTCACACCGTGGTCGTCACACCGTGGTCGTCACACCGTGGTCGTCTGGGGTGTGCTGCGTGGTCGTCACACCGTGGTCGTCACACCGGCGTCTGGTCGTCACACCGTGGTCGTCACGCCACATCGTTAATCTTCGTAGCGTCACCAGGTCGTCACACCGTGGTCGTCACGTGGCGTCCACAGGTCATCACCGTGGCCGTCACCGTGGTCGTCACACCGTGGTCGTCACACCGTGGTCGTCACACCGTGGTCGTCACACCGTGGTCTCGCGAGTATCTTTCTTTATCTCCATGGCCAACTTGAAGGCGTTGTTACTCTGGCTCCTGAAGCTGGCCGCCGTCCCGTTCAGCCTCCCCATTCTCTCGTTCTCCTTTCTACAGCCGAAGGCGTGCCTGAAACCCTGCAGGAACTTCTTGTTCATGAAGCAGTAAGTGATGGGGTTACAGCAGGAGGAGGCATAGGAGAGCAGGTGCATAAAGGAGATCCCGAAGGACCCTAGAACTCGGTACACCTGCTCGGGGATGTAGAGGCACATGATGTTAACGACGAAGATGGGCGTCCAGCAGAGGAAGAACTCCAGCACCACCACGAACAGCATCTTGATCACATGTTTCTTGGCCTCGATGCTCTTCTCCAGGTGGGTACTGCGGAGGCGTTTGAACCCCGTCTTCGGTTCTTTCCGGTGTGGTGACTCCAGGTTCCCGTTCTCCCGCACCGACTCCACGTGCCACTTGTAGTTTTGGCAGTCTCGTCCGTGTAGGCAGACGTGGGTACCGTCCTGACTGGAGGAGGGGGTGTGGGTGAGGTCTGTAGGGGACTTATGAGAGTGGACGACGACCTCTGGGATGGCGACGCTCTCTGGCTGACAACAGTGTTCACACGTCCTCGTCTGGGCCGGGATCTTGCGGAACCTGTCGGAAACAAAGGGTCAGTGAAACTGGTTTCTGAGGGGCAGTTCGGATACAGCTTACTATACACTCAGCTTCTAGTGCACAATGAGGAAGAGTGGTCGATACTGCACTCGATTGCCTTCACTTTCCCAACAGTAAAATTAGGTCCCTTCATGATTGGGTGAACAGAGAGTATTCCGGACGAAAACCAGCGACCATTAGGATAGGACCCGAGAGCTGCATCCACTCGTCACCGTCACCTCTCTACCAGATATTAAAGCCATATATGTGTGGGCCTTTGTTGCGTCAGAGAATTTCCGAACATTGTTCTCGTGTGTTGGAATATAGGGTGGAGCAGATCTGTCTGGCTTACATTCTGTTTAGGTGTTTGACTGGATAACCATTTATCAGGCCATCTGTTTATTTATATATCGATATGTCTTTTGAATATATATTGAGTAAATTGTATTTAATCTATCATTACTTTGGTTGTTGTTTGACGAATCAAAGCGAAACCGCTTGACATGAGAAAGTTTGTGTAAGCGTGTACGTGTGTGTGTGTGAGCGTGTGTATGTGAGCGTGTGTATGTGTGTATGACTGCCTGACTGTCCAGGACACACAGGGGAGGTGATGGAGCCACAGCACCATAATCTTCAAAGGCCACAGTCTCCAGCCAGCTGCAGGAAGCTGGGCACTGGGACCAAGAGTACCTGTCATATGAAAGGGTCACATCTCGCGTCACTGTAGACAGCTGACTCTAAGAGAAGCCAACCTCACACTACGAGCTTCTGAGTCACGAGGGTTAAGATTTGTTCCGTCTTAACATCAATTAAGCTCACTGTTTAAATCGTGAGAAGCAGTGTAGGTGAAGCCTCAAGAGAAGTGAATGTTATTGATATTGAAACAGTTTATTTAGCCAGAAAAACATATACAGAGTGGATAATGATAACAATATTAACATGGCTGAGCCAGTTGAGAACCTGAGCTGCACCTGATATACTGTACCCTGTATACTGTACATTTATCTCGAGGAAGTATTATGTAACTTTTAGTAACACCTGGAATAGTACACAAAGCATAGTGGTAATAAGAACATATCAGTATGTTACCACGGTTATCACTTCAATATTTATTTTTGTTATTTTATTTTATTTTTGTTTCATTTATATTATGAGTATATACATATTTTACAGTGGTGTTGATATATTCAAAAATATGATAAGGGAGGGAAGCAGTACAACATGGGCTGTATTAAGGTGGAACAAGAGGACAGAGCTGTCAGTATCATGTCTACTGTCTAGTCGGCAAATATAATTATTGCAATGATAATTTCTATCTATCTACCTGACAATTTCTGATAAAACGGCTTTGGTGGTACAAGAAAAGCAGGCATATAAAATAGGTATTGCATAATGTTTAATACTTAGACAATAGATATTTTTTAAGAGATGATTTAAAGGAAGGGAGCGTAGTCTTTGCTCGGATGGGTGGGGGTAAGTTGTTCCACACCTTCACGCCGTGATATTTTATTGAGGTCTGGGACTGAGAGGAGCGCATGGGGGGGTGGTCTTAGTAGCTCTGGGTGCCTTAAGTTGTATCTCTGATTATTCCGGAACTGGAATAATGATTGTCAAGCAAGTGATTGATAGATTTGTAAACAAAGAGGGCACAGCAGTAGGTGTTTAATATCATCGAGCCTTGAGGGACGCCATACAAAATTGGTGAGGAGTCAGATTGATGATTCTTATAGCAGACATACTGCTTCATGTTAGACAGATATGAGGTATACCAATTGTGGGACAAGCCCCTAACGCCGTAATGTTCAAGCTTTAGAGAGGTTCAGGAATATACCGAGTGTGAACTGACTGTCACCAAAGGAGTTTAAGATGTCATTAGTCAAGGATTGCAGAGCACAATCAGTTGACCTTCTAGCTCTAAATCCAAACTGAGAGTCTGTAAGGGATGTTATTGACACTGCAGAAGGAATTTAGTCTACTACATGCTAGCTTCTCCAGTATCTTACTTAAGGCTGGGTAGACTGATATGGGGCGGTACTTCTTTAAACAACCTTTGTCCCCAGATTTTTTATATGCTGGGTGAACTTTAGCAAATACCAATTTATCTGGAAAGACGCCACTAGTGAAGGAGGAGTTACAAATGTGTAGGAGAACAGGTAGTAATAAGTGGGCTACTTTCTTAATGATGCTCATGGTATATTGTCTCCGCCTGCTGCTGCATCTTTGGACATTTTTATGATGGTCAATAATTCATTTGCTGAGACAGGGGATAAGAACAGCTCTAAGTTCGTCGTGGTGATTAGGGATGCTCTCTGCAAGATTTTTGCTAACATTGTAAAATACTCATTGAAGTGGTTTGTAATAAAGAGAGGGTTCCGTTACATCTTGAACCCAGAGAACTGTTGTAAATGAAGCCTCACAACAACTAAAGGATCCCGACCAGTGAAGCCTCGAGACAAGTGAAGCATCAACACAAGTGAAGCATCAACACAAGTGAAGTCTCAAGACAAATGAAGCCTCGTGACAAGTGAATCTTCAGGACAAGTGAAACCTCAAGACAAATGAAGCCTCAGGACAAGTGAAGCCTACCTTATGGAGATCTTGGAGACACGACGGGAGTGTTTGCGTCTCAGACTCTGTTGAACCATCGCCAAGCCGTTGAGGTCTGTGAGGGAGATTACTGTAAAGAAGAGAAAGTACGTCACTCAGTTTCTATTCTCTTACTTTGCTTACCTTGTTTCTTTCCACTTTGCCACTAACTACCTGTCAGTCTTAATCTTTCATCTCTCATTCTGTCACTTTCGAGTCTTTGTCTCACCCTGTCACTTTCTCTCCTTACAGCCTGTTACTTTCTCTACTCTGTCTTTCGCTTTGTTACTTTCTCTAATTTTTGTCTCTCAATCTGTCACTTTCTCTACTCCCTGTCTCTCAATCTGTCACTTTCTCTCCTTCCTGCCAAACACTCTCTCGGTAAATAACTCTTACCTCCCTCTCAGTCTCAATAAAACCTCTCATCTCTCCCTCTCTCCCTCAATAAATGCCTCCCACTCACCACCATTCACCTCTCATATATCCCACCCCCTCACACATCACCCTTTCTTTTTCTCTTTCTCTTCCCCTTTCGAAATAACATTCTAATATCTTTCTCCCACACCTTACACACACACACACACACACACACAAGGAAAGCTAACCAGAATATAACCAGCTATATATATGTATCGTCAAGCTATATCTGAACTCAGGTTAGCTTGCATCTCCATACCTGATGATAAAATTAGTGGTTTATTTTTTACACGAGGTTAATGAGTGTTAGGACAGGTATGGTGTTTTACGTCATACCTGTGTTAAGAAAAGTCGTGACAATGAGCTGTAATGTAGGATATTATAAACGTGTGTGCGTGTGCGTGTGCATGCTATTATTATTACTACAACAGAAGGAACTACTTTACATCAAGCAACAACAAAGTCGTAGAAGGTTCTAATATTTTTTTTTCATCAGTCAGTCACATTTAGTGTCATCCCCCCCCCTTTCCCCCCTCCCACTGCCCACCCCCCTCCTACCTATCATCTGTCCCCCATCTCTCCCACCCACCACCTCTTCCCTCTCCCACCCACCACCACTTCCTCCTCCCACCCACCCCTGGAGAGTGGACGAGATAAGCTTCAACCTTCGTAAATTCTTAAACTAACCTATCAGGATTAAACCTTAATCCTCCTCTCATCTCATCCAATTAGAGACGCTGTCTTTAATACATCTTCATCTTAATGACGTCTTCGTTCTAATGACCCTCCGTAATGGTTAACTAGGGACTATTAACACTAGGGACTATTAACACTAGGGACTATTAGCACTAGGGACTATTTCACCTGTTTTCAATTAACCAAACAATGTCTCCCTGATTCTATTACCTTCACAGTCCATAATGATTGAGCCTCGTCAAAATCAGGGTCAGGAGTAATGGTCCCTTGTCCTAATATTTGGTTAAGTGAGACCTCATTAGGATGGTGGCACAATGGTACTGAGGTCCATTGGTACAGAGGCCCATTGGTACAGGGGTTCATTGGTACAGAGGCCCATTGATACAGGGGTCCACTGGTTCTTGGGATCCATTGGTACAGGAGCCTATTGGTACCAGGTCTCGGGCCCATTTGACCAGTCACCATAAAAAAAAATCCAGCTCATGAATGAGTCTCCGAGGACCAATCAGTGAAGCAGCTGCAAGAATACGACGCTGCCAGACGCAAAACTCCAGAGCAAAAGACGAATGTGAAGAAATTAAGTCCAGGTGATAAAAGGAGCAGCATGAAGATGAAAGGTGGAAAGTCATGAATTGGGGAGGAAGTGAAGACAAAGGGTGACGAGAGGAGATGAAAGAAGAAAATAAAAGTGTTTAGTGCTTAACGATGAGGAGGTTCTTATCTTTGAGGTGAGGTGCTGGTGGTGGAGGAGAAGGTGGTATCTGAGGGTGTGTCTGCGTGGGTATAAAGCCGCATGATGAGAAGATAGGTGATAAGTGTGGAGGAGAGGAAGAAGAGAAGTGGAGTGTGGAAAAGGAAAAAGACCCCTGGAGGTACAAGTGTGTGTGTGTGTGTGTGTGTGTGTGTGTGATGAGACGAGGTAAATAGCTTTTAATCTTTCAAGATAATCCTTTGCGAATACTCAAAAACACAGAGAAACACACAAACCAAGAACCAGCTCCTCTCCTCTCCTTGGCACCGTTCCCAGTAATTCCAGGTCCACCGTTCCCAATTTCTACCACCAGGACACCTCACCTGCTTTATCTCACCCTCCTTGGCTTATTAATCATTGTTCCTTGTCAGTTTGGTCGACTGACTGACTGACTTTTTCCCCGGTCCGCGACACTAATTCAGGTAATTCTTCGTTTATTTGTTACTGAAATTGTCAATTATGTCAATAAGATCTGGCAAAGGTGTTTCATGCAACAATAATTATTGTCAAACTTTGTCACGCAACATCAATACTTGTCAAAGACCTGTGTCACGCAACATCAATACTTGTCAAAGACCTGTGTCATGCAACATCAATACTTGTCAAAGACCTGTGTCACGCAACATCAATACTTGTCAAAGACCTGTGTCATGCAACATCAATACTTGTCAAAGACCTGTGTCATGCAACATCAATACTTGTCAAAGACCTGTGTCATGCAACATCAATACTTGTCAAAGACCTGTGTCATGCAACATCAATACTTGTCAAAGACCTGTGTCATGCAACATCAATACTTGTCAAAGACCTGTGTCATGCAACATCAATACTTGTCAAAGACCTGTGTCACGCAACATCAATACTTGTCAAAGACCTGTGTCATGCAACATCAATACTTGTCAAAGACCTGTGTCATGCAACATCAATACTTGTCAAAGACCTGTGTCACGCAACATCAATACTTGTCAAAGACCTGTGTCACGCAACATCAATACTTGTCAAAGACCTGTGTCACGCAACATCAATACTTGTCAAAGACCTGTATCAATACTTGTCAAAGACCTCACGCAACATCAATACTTGTCAAAGACCTGTGTCATGCAACATCAATACTTGTCAAAGACCTGTGTCATGCAACATCAATACTTGTCAAAGACCTGTGTCACGCAACATCAATACTTGTCAAAGACCTGTGTCACGCAACATCAATACTTGTCAAAGACCTGTGTCACGCAACATCAATACTTGTCAAAGACCTGTGTCACGCAACATCAATACTTGTCATAAACATGTCAAGCAGAATTAAGTTGTCACATAATCGGTATACAGTGTCGGTGTACACGGAGTTAACAAACCGTGATAAGGGTGGGCGTATACTAACGTACAACGGCATGAGAAAACGTACATAGTCGTACAGGCTAGACACGTATCGGCGTACACACAGTGAAACCTTTATTTAACGGACAGTATGGAGACACAAGTCCGTTATATCAAGGTTCCGTTAGCTGTGAATGCTGCATCTAACGAACTATATTGAGAAGAAAAGTCCTTTATATCGAGGGTCTGTTAGATGTAAGACCCCCATCTAACGTTATATGGAGGTATCACTACAGTCATGCAGGGAGGAGTGCAAGTGTCGGCGTATACACAAACCCAAACAGGGATATAAGAGGAGGAGGAGGAGTGGGATATCCGTGCAAGTGCAGGCGTACACAGACGGACAGCGGTATGAGTGACGTACAGGGTCTGGTACCTTGGCCGGTCTCCCGCTCAAGTCTCATGCCGTGCCATAGAGAGATGGTGATGGAGGAGTAGGCAGCAACCATGATGACGAGGGGCACCAGCAGCAGCCCCGCCCCCAGGAACATGCTGAACCCGCGCTCCAGGTGAAGACTCGGCCACATCTCTCTGCACTTGTGGCGACCTGGGGGAGAGAGGGTGTTAGACTGGGGGGAAAGAGGGTGTTAGATTGGGTGGAGAGAGGGTGTTAGACTGGGGGAGAGAGGGTGTTAGATTGGGGGAGAGGGTGTTAGACTAGGGGGAGAGAGGGTGTTAGATTAGATTGGGGGAGAGGGTGTTAGAGAGAGAGGGTGTTAGATTGGGGGAGAGGGGTGTAGATTGGGGGAGAGATTGGGATTAGGAGGGAGAGCGGTTAGACTGGGGGGAGAGGGGTGTTAGACTAGGATTGGGGGAGGGTGTTAGGGAGAGAGGGTGTTAGACTGGGGAGAGGGGTGTTGGGGGAGAGAGGTGTTAGATTGGGAGAGAGGTGTTAGACTGGGGAGAGAGGGTGTTAGATTGGGGGAGAGGGTGTTAGATTGGGGGGAGAGAGGGTGTTAGACTGGGGGGGAGAGGGGTTGGAGCTGGGGTGAGAGGGGAGAGGTGTGTTAGACTGGGGGAGAGGGTGTTAGACTGGGGGGGAGAGGGTGTTAGAGGGTGTTAGATTGGGGAGAGAGGGTGTTAGACTGGGGGAGAGAGGGTGTTAGACTGGGGGAGAGAGGGTGTTAGATTGGGGGAGACCAGGAGAGGTGGTGTTAGACTGGGGATGGCATAAAAATAAAAACCCTGAGTAGTATAGCATTATATAGCACGTAATATAAGCACTATGACATGATATAGGACAATATATAGGTAATATAGCGGAGAGAGGATAATGAAGGGATAAATATAGCCTCTTCTTTATAGAGTTCGTAAAGGCGAAATATTACTCTATTATCCTTTGCTCTATACTGAAGAGTTATGGTACAGTAATGGGTACTGGATTATGTGTGGGTGAGGAGAAAGGAAGTGAAATAGAGGAGAGAGAGACAAAGGAGGAGAGAGAGAGAGAGAGAGAGAGATAGAGAGAGAGAGTCGACCTGAAAATGCTAAGAGTAAGGAGGCCAATATTGATGTACAAAGGGAGGGGAGGGGAGGAGAGGGAAGTGACTGGGGAGGATGTAGAGGTTATTGATTGAGGGGAGGCAAGATGCAAGATTTATCACTGTTGGGGGGGCGGGGAGGATGGTTGGGGAAGGAACTCACTCGTATCGCCGACGGGGAGAAGCTGTGACAGGGCAGCTATAGGCGCCATGAACACCAGGGACAAGAGCCACACTAAGCTGATGATCTTGTAGGCGTGTGAGAGGGTTTGCCATCCCCGGGAGCGCAGCGGTTGGCAGATGGCGTAATACCTCTCCAGCGAGATGGCCACCAGCGTCCAGACCGACACAGACACCGACACAGCTGTTGTAGGAGAGGGTGAAACAGCACTCGTGAGATACACTGGAGACAGCTGTTGTAGGAGAGGGTGAAACAGCACTCGGGAAATACATAACAAGGCCTCAGCAAAATTCAGAGATACACTTATACTATCACAAGTTAAACCACCATCTTTCTAAACCATCCTTCCCCCTAGTCTGCTTTTTTTTGTTCGTACTTTCCGTCTCGTTATTACCCTTCCTATGTATTCTCCCTAATTTTCATTGTACCCACTTCACTTTTCCTCAACCTTTATCTCCCTCCTCTCCCTTCTCCTGAACCTACCTTCCTTCCCTCCCTCCCTCCCATTATTCCCTCCCATCGCACTGTAAGCCTTCTCGTCTATTCTAATTTACTCGGGGTCTCTTACTGCAGTACGGGTTTCATCACAACACACCACAGGTATTTTTCACACCTGTCTACAAGAGATGTAATATTTTCCTTCGTATCTGGTGTAATACTTGTTTTAGAAGTAGATTATAATTATATCTTACTCTTTTGATGTTCGTGTTATTTTGGTAATACCTGGTAAAGTAATTTTCTTAACATGTGGTGTGATATTCCCTTCACATCCAGTAAAATATTCCTTCACATCTGACGAAACATTTACTCTCCTGTTTCACACCTGGGATAAAATGTTTGCACCTTACTTCACATCCACCATCGTCCTCTTGTTTACATAACGTCAATGTCTGTGTGCTCGGGAATCCATGACGTGTTTTCCCTCGACCTTTTTTATTTTCGCTTCAGTGTTACCTCAGCCACACCCGAAGTAGAGAGAGCGAGGTTTACCTGGTTCACTATTTTATCATCCTTTTTTTTTTATCTATTTATATTTATCATTTCACCGCTTATCAACTTACTAGCTGTTTATGGGGTTGCTGTCTATCTGTCTGTCTGTCTGTCTGTCTGTCTGTCTGTTTGTTTCTGTCCCTGTCTCTCCTCTACTCACTTCGCTCTTACTCTCAACCTTCCCACACACTCATAAGCTCTCTCTCTCTCTCTCTCTCTCTCTCTCTCTCTCTCTCTCTTCCTCTGCTTCTTCTCACCCTCTCCTTCACTCTCTACATCTCCTACATTCTCTCCCTCCCTTCCTCCTCCCTACACGTTTTGATAATTAAATTGGGGTTCTCAATATGTTACCTGTACAAAAACCTTATTCAGTTTGGCGCTCAGTTTCAGAGTCGAATTTGCATATGAAGTGTCTTAGTATTCTTTATCTTGATGAGAGAGAGAGAGAGAGAGAGAGAGAGAGAGAGAGAGAGAGAGAGAGAGAGAGAGAGATTCCCTAGGGATACTTCGCCTGAGAATTTATTTACCTTGACCCTATTTTTTATTAAAATTCATTAACCTTTACAGGTATATATTTTTAATTTTTCTTAAGTATGAGCTTATGAGGATATTTTTTTCATATTTATAATGACAAAAAAAAAAGAAGTAAGAAAAACACGTCTTCATTAATATTATTATTTAGATATTATACATGTTAGTTATACTCGTAAATATATAGTAACATATATCAGCCTTATAGCAGTTATTTATATGATTTTAAGGTAATATATTATCTCTCTCTCTCTCTCACTATTCTCTCTCTCTCTCTCTCTCTCTCTCTCTCTCTCTCTCTCTCTCTCTCTCTCTCTCTCTCTCTCTCTCTCTCTCTCTCTCTCTCTCTCTCTCTCTCTCTCTCTCTCTCTCTTTTCTTTCTTCTCTCTCTTTCTGTAACTTAACCCCTTGCAAACACTAAGGGTTAAAGTTACTTTTGTCTCTGGCAAATCACCAATTGCAATGTTTCTGTCGGGTTAATCCGCTTAGCTGTCAGAACCTGACGGGCACACTGATATTAGAAGAGAAGAGAGAAAGAGAGAGAGAGAGAGAGAGAGAGAGAGAGAGAGAGAGAGTTAAGCATTATAAGTTACCTTGAGTAATAAAGTCATTAGGTCTCACGCTGTTTCCTGAATCACTCTTTTTATCAGACCTTACCTGTAATTCTCTAGATTATCACCTGTTCTTTCTTTACTTGTATGGACTGAGTTGTTTTTATTATTATTATTATTATTATTATTATGATTATTATTATTATTATTATCATTATTATTATTATTATTATTATTATTATTATTATTATTATTATCATTATTATTATTATTATTATTATTATTATTATTAGTTTATTATTATTATTATTATTATTATTAGTTGTTATTGTTGATATTATTATTATTTGTCGTTGCTGTTATTGTTGTTATTGTTGTTTGTTGTTGTTGTTGTTGTTGTTGTTATTGTTATTTGTTGTCGTTGTTGTTGTTATGTTATTATTATTTGTCGTTGCTGTTATTGTTGTGTTATTGTTGTTTGTTGTTGTTGTTATTGTTATTTGTTGTCGTTGTTGTTGTTGTGTTATTGTTATTTGTTGTCGTTGCTGTGTTTGTCTCACTCCGTCAGTGTACACTCTCCACCACTTAACCTCTGGATAACTCTTATATTTAATGTACATTTTGAAGCTCTTCCTCACCTGCAGATTTAAACTTCAGGGTCTCTTAATTACGGCGCCTTTGTGAGCTTCAATTGTTCACATTTTTAGTTTATTTCTTGTTTTTATCGTGTGTGGGGGGTGGGGGTGTAGGGTGGGTGGATGTGTGTGTGGGGGTGGGGTGTGTGGGTGGATGTGTGTGGGGGTGTGTGGGTGGATGTGTGTGTGTGGGGTGTGTGGGTGGATGGGGTGTGTGGGGGTGTGTGGGTGGATGTGTGTGTGTGGGGGGGTGTGTGGGTGGATGTGTGTGTGGGGGTGGATGTGTGTGTGTGGGGGGATGGATGTGTGTGGGGGGTGGATGTGTGTGGGGTGGATGTGTGGGGGTGGATGTGTGTGTGGGGGTGGATGTGTGGTGTGGGTGGATGTGTGTGACTGGAGTTCTTTTCTTTCATAATTCTTAAATGGGAGTTAAAATCTTCCTCTCGTCTTCATATACTGAGAATCTTAACTTTTTTTTAATCTCTTTTATCCCAAAAATAATAATAATAAGATTTTCTGATCAAACCTTAAGAATGAGAGACGCTTATCATTATCTTAAGCCTTTAATACACACTGAATCAAAGTACGTGGCCCGACACTGCACTCGACAGCCTTCATCTTCTCAACTGTAACGTCAAGCACCAACTTACAAATGAGTGAATTATAAATGCCGCCCCGTAATCGAACTAACGACCCCTGGGACATGAAGCGAGCGCTGTGGTCACTCATCCACTACTAATATAAATATTATGAATTATCAAAAAGTGTAACGGGGGAAATTTTATATATATATATATTTTTTTTTGATGAGTGTGTCGGCTAAAGTGGAGGTGGGAATCTTTCTTTTTGTGATATTTTATGAGATTATCTGAAGTTCTGATCATTCTTTATAGAGAGAGAGAGAGAGAGAGAGAGAGAGAGAGAGAGAGAGAGAGAGAGATATCCTTCGTCATCAAGTTAATGAAACAATTAAAAATGTTTCCCCTAACACAATAGTGATCTGGTCTCCCTAACTTACTTAGTCTGCCACAAAACACATTATTGTTATAGTCTAGATCATTTAATCTCTATTGCTCACCTAATTTGAATAACAATGATGATAATAATACTACTAATAATAGTATTAATAATAGTAAATGTAATATTAAAAGCAATAATACTAATGATACTACTACTATTACTAGGAGTGATGATAATAATAATAATAATGACTACTTTTCTAACGACAATAAAAAGTACTACTTACAAGAAAATACTAATGAATATATTATAGCAAAATTCCTATATATTCTCTACACATTTTAAAACAAGGATATAAAAAAAACGACTCACCTGCCGAGACACTGACAACCTGGTGCTAATTAACGCCTGATAACCTGTACCTGTCCGTCTATCACATTTCGACGATTTAACTCTCTTTTCCGACATGTTTTATTGTCTCTTGGCGAATTAATCCGTCATTATTGGGTAACTGTCCTCACGAGTAACGTAAATTTAGTGAAATATGAAAGATTTCTTGAACTATCACTTCTGATGGCTGTACCTATAAGCCATCTGGAGATTTTTGCGGGAAACACAGTCTGTTGGCTTATTATTCCGTATCATTTCCCTTATATCCGCCTGGAGGTCGGTAAATTTCGCCTCTTAAGGTCAAGGACATCACATTTTCCTGAGCACCAAATGTAATAATTATATTAGTGATGGTAATTAGATGCGCCAAAGTTAATGTAATTAGCCAAATTTTATGCTGGTGAATTATTCTTGCATCGTTACCCGACTCACGTAACAAGAGGTTGAAGGGGTGGTTTAATTACTGTGTTCTAAAGAGAGAGAGAGAGAGAGAGAGAGAGAGAGAGAGAGAGAGAGAGAGAGAGAGAGCTAGACTACAATATTTTTCGTCCCAATTGAACAGTTTTTCAGCTGTTGGCGGCGGCGTACGAAGGGTAATAATGACTTTTTTTTTGGCAATCTGAATCGACAAAAATAAAACAATGAACTGAAAAACACAGCAAACACAGCCTTCACTGCCTTCACTGTGCCGAGTGTCCTAATGAATGATGTTCCGGGGGTAACTGCGGTCATAGTCGTTAAAACTACTAAGTTTATTATCTTTACCATTGAAAATTAATAATTGTCCCCAGAAGAACCCTTAGGATTTGAATCTTGCCCTCACTGCCCACCTGGCCCTCACTGCCCACCTGGCCCTCCCTGCCCACCCGGCCCTCCCTGCCTCCCCTGGCCCTCCCTACCTCCCCTGGCCCTCCCCTGCCTCCCCCTGGCCCTCCTGCCTCCCCTGGCCCTCACTGCCCACCTGGCCCTCCCTGCCCACCTGACCCTCCCTGCCCACCTGACCCTCCCTGACCCTCCCTGGCTCTCCCTACCTCCCCTGGCTCTCCCTGCCTCCTCCATGGTACTTCCTTCCTTGCCCCCCCTTCCCTTAAAAATATCCCCACCTTTCCCCGTAAACTATCCACCT